AAAGAGCTTGGGTGGTTTCCGCACAAGTTGGAGAGAGAGCAATTGGAGTTCGAGAGGGAGAGCGTGAAGATCTCTAAGCGCTGCGGATCCTTACGGACCCAACGCTTTTCTTAAAAGGCAATAGAGGCCTGATAACCGAACCCGCGGAGCTTCAACAACTCCGGGGAAAAGAACAAACAGCCTCTAGCCTCTCCCCGTTGCCGATAAATTCCTAGACGTATCCCTTCCTGTATGAGAAACTACCGAACCCGCGGAGTTTCAATAACTCCGGGGCAAAGAAACTACCGAACCCGCGGAGCTTCAATAACTCCGGGGCAAAGAACGAATTGTCGTAGTCCTCTGACGAGGATTTAAGCGGAGCTGAACCCGGAAACTGTCCAGCCTACACCACGAGCATCTTTGGTGTAAGTAAACAATCTTTAAATCAACCATTATGCGTCTGTGACTAATTCTAGCTCGCCACCGGTCCTCTCCGACCCCGCGTGCCCGGGCTGCTGGCCACAGCACGCGTGCGCAAAGACAGGCCCGGCTTGCCCCCGGCTTGCACATGGCGACGAGGATGGGATCGGGAGAAAACCCGATTTGGGAGTTTATCCTCAAACTCCAGTGAGCCACAAGAGGGGAGGGGACTGCAGAGCTCTCAGATTCTTGCAAACTACCCACTGAAGCCTTCATCATCACTTGTCTGAAATTAACTCTGCTAGGAGGCCCCCACACTGAGGAACCCTGGGGCTGGATATGGCTTACATCAAACACAGCAGGTCCCAGTGGCCTTATTCTAAGCAGGGAGGTGTCAGTGGCACAGACTGCAACTCCCAGCATGCAACTGTGCCATCTAGGCTGCTTGGATGATGATGGAGCACCGCATGCTGGGATTTGCCTTCTCCCCACGCTGGGGCCCTGTAACGAGAGGTGAAGGCAGCAGCAGGGGCTTATGGCATGATTCCAGGAGACTGCATGGGACCCAAGGCAATTTATCGCCCGTTGGCTCAGCACAAGCCTATTTGGAACTTGACTAATCATGTCATCGGCACTGTTCTGACTTTGTCAGAAGCCTCATGTTGTCTGCCACTCCTCTTAATGCCCTTGCTCCTAGAAGCAGGGTATTGGATACGAAATGCAGCCTTTCCACGTATATCTTGAGTTAGCGTCCAGTCTCTCAGGCCTTGTCTACCTCATTTCTGTGCAGTGTGCAGGATCCCTGTCCAAGTTGCCCATCTGCGTCCACTCCACATGTGCCAAAGCCCAGGGATAAGGCAGGGGAGCCTCCCTGAGCAGCCCGAGTACAGGCCTTGCACTGCTCTGAGGCTCACCATCTCTAGGTTGCTTATTGGCACTGCCAGTCTAAGACGGCTACACTGCCTACTTTCAGGACTTAGCAAGTGCAAGTGGGAGTGAGTGAGTGGTGCACCCAGGTGATATAGACAAGTCTACAACAGCTGAGGGAAGCTCAAAAAAATGAGCTGAAGTTACAGCAAAGGCTGTGAAGGCAGAGAGAAAAAAACCTAGTGCTGGTTATTTTTAAGCCAGTTGCATGATTTTTATTTTGATCCGACTCATTTTTTTGGGAACATTTGCGGAGGACAGAACTGTGTGCTGGTCAAAAGGGAAGATGATATCAACATGCAAAACCCCCTGACAGATCTCTTGATGACAAAACCAGAACACTCAAAAAGTCCTGTAGTCAGCTTCTTTCAAAATCACTTACCATAGGAAGTAATGGAGAGACAGAACTTTGTGCAACAGAACCCGCTCCCTTGGCCTGCTGGGGTCTTTTCCTAACCCCCTCAATCTTCTCTTCTGCATGTAACTCCCACCCGTGCTAACCGGACATCTTCCCCAACCCCCCACATCCTGCTACAGAGAATATGCTGAAGACTGAAAGATTCAGGGGAAAAGGCTTTTCCTAGGTAAGATGCAAGTTAATTGCAGTCATTAAAGGTAATGTCCTTAATGCTTTGCTATTTCTGGTGCATGCAGAGTCCTCCTGGAGTTACTTATCAGCTGAATGATTGGCTCTGCACAGAACCAGAAACATTAGAGAAGGATAAAAAGCTATTAGAGCTCATATGGTTCAACCACTGTGCCCATCTGAGGAGGAATGTATCCTTACAATGGTATTTTCCAAGGCCTTGTCCAGGGCAGGGGCGTGGTACCTGCAGAAGTCTGAGACACTGTCCTCATGGGCACCACCATGCCAGTACTAGGTTGCATCACTTAGTTTGTGATCATGGGGCCTCAGATGTCACAAAGACTAAGATGAAATGGACTGCTTCAAAAGCCAGAACAAAAGACAACAGATGGATTTGGGATGGGGAGGCTCCTAGTACAGCACATATACTACACCAGGATTTCCCTCAGATCAACTCTGGGCTTCAGGCTTTGTGGCTGGTTTCAGGCATGGCTTTTTTGCCCAGCCACCCTTCACAGGACTACACCACACTCCATGCCACTCCCTGCCCTCAATTTGGTTGTGAGTTCTCTACCATCCAATGGATATCGAGTTATGTAATACTTGTAGCAGGTGACTTATGCCCAATCTTACACACACTGATAAGATTGTGCTGTGTGGGGGAAGATTAGAATTAGAGCAGAGAATTTAAAAACAGCTATTGAGGACCTCAGCTCTGGTTCTGTCATTACTTTGTTGTATGGCTGTGGGCAAGTCCCTGGGTCTCAGTTTCCCATCTTTGTCAAGTGCTCCATGGCTCCTGGGTGAAAGGTGCCAGAAGTGTCAAGCATTATTATGCTCCCCATAAGCCCTAGGCATCTGCCAGTCTCTCCTGTCCTCCTGCAAGTCCCACAATTCTTGCTTCTCTTTGGCTACTCTTGACAACCACAGTGATACAGCAGGAGAGAGAGGCTGGTTGCACACCACAGGTTTATAGGTCAATACCTCATATTTCATTTCAAAGTGAAAGGATCAGCCAGCATCATCTTTGAGGAAAGCAGTGCAGTGATCCCTGCAGCTCTACCAGTCACAGTCTGTGTCAACTGGACATCCCACAGGCAGCCTTATACAGAGGACAGTACTATGGTTCTATCTAAAAGAGGCGAGACAGACCTACAGCATCAACCTGTCTTTTGTCTGCCACCAGGAGAAGGGCGTCAGGCAATACCAAGCCTATTAGCACAGGAAACCGGCACCCTGCCTTCCCAAAGGGAAATGTCAACTATTATTTATAACCAACAAATGAGCTCACAAGCCTCCTTTTGATTTCATTGGGGGGGGGGGGGGGATGGGGGGAAGGCAGGGTACAGGGAAACTTGGATGAATTCTGTTATATAGAAATAAATGTTATAGCATTTGCCCTGCAGATAAGACCGCTTCAGCATTCTCAGTACCTCTGCATGACACGTACTTAAATCATGATTTATATAAAAGGTAAGATGCCATACACCACCACTCATGCAATTTATCATAGGGATGGGGTCCTTTGATGCACATTTAGGCACCAGCTTTTCATCAGGAAAACAGTTTTTTGCATTGCTTTGCAGCTGCAACACAGCTTGGTGTTCCATGGCTTGTAGGCATCCACACGCCACTCCCGGCACCACGAACCCTCGGGGCTCCTTGCTAACCCAAGGGTCTGCCCCTCTATGCCTGCCGACTGTAGAATGACAGCTCTAAAGGCTAAGTTCCCTGAGGCAGTGACCCCATCTGTTATTTAAGCAGAGCTAAAGCAATCACGAGTCCAGCATGCTCGACCATCAGGACTCCCGCAAAACAGAAAAGATGGCATTTATTTCTAATGCTCCCCACCTTTAAAAAATGTAGGCTGCATAATATTCCTGTGCGAAATGCATGACGCTAATAAGTCAATGCCCCGACACCCCTTTCGAGTCCCAGCCTCTCAAGCAGGCACTGAATTCAGAACCAACACATTCAGCATAGCGACGGCCAACCAATCCTACCACAGCTCCCACAGACCCACTCTGGGATGCTCCATTCACGCCCCTCCGTTTCTCCATCCATCGGCTACCCCTCCCCATCCACAGCCCTCCCTCTTCCTTTTTAAAATGCCATTAGCCCCCTGACATACACCCAACATCCTGCAAAAGGGCATTTTTAAGAGACATATATTTATTAAGCCATTCCCAATTCCAGCACAGCAAAAAGGGATGTGAAATGGCACAGAAATCTGTAATGTTTTATGGCTCAGTAAAAATTCAACATTTTTCGCATACTGTGTGTGTGTGTGTGTGTGTGCACGTGCACCAGGCACGTACATACATCTATACGTGCATGTATGCAGGTATGCGTGTGTGCATGTATGCACCAGGCATATATATGTGTGTGCGTATATATGTATGTATGCACGCCAGGCATATATACATGTGTGCACACATGTGCACATGCACAGGCATATACATGTATGCGTGTGTGTGGATGTGAATGCTTGTATCTATGTGCACGTAGGTGTGCATGTATGTATGTATGTATGTATGTATACGTGTGTGCCTACATGTAGGCGTGGGTCGGTCCTGTTTCGTAACACGAACAACTAACCCGATTCCCTCCGCAGCGAGGCATGGGCACAGAGCAGGGATGGGGCCGGGCACTACAGGCAGTGCCAGCCAACCCCCTTGCACCGGCCCAGGGCAAGGGCGACGACCCCCGCTGGGAGAGAGGGAGCGGCATCACCCGCCCCCCACCCCGAGCACAGCACGCGGCGGCGGCTCCGCACTCCGCAGCCCCCGGCGGCTCCAGCACCGATCCTGCGGCAGCGGAGAGGAGCGAGCGGGCGGCTGCAGTGGCGACCGCCCTTTGTGCGCGGAGGCAGCCCGGGGACATGCCCGCGCCGCACCCCGCCCGGGTGTGCAAAGGGTCCCCCCGCCCCCGACAAGAATCGTGCTGCGGAGCCGGG